ATGTATAAGTAAATCAAATTAATTTTTAGTTAATCTACACCAGGCAAACACATTTATTATTTTATTAAAACTTTATTAAAATAATATTTTATTGTATAAGACTTATATAAATATATTATGCTTTGATGATTTCATTATGTTTCATAAAACCTTTATCATTTTAAACCTCGTGAATATTACGTAGATTGATTTATGAATGCAATTTATAATTATTATAAGTAATATAAATAACATAATATACCGTAATATGAATGAGTGAAAGTAATGATATATCAAATAAATACGATTGGAAATTACCAATTACAATATACGTGTATTAGGTAATGATACACTATTATATTGTTTTCATCAAACATTGGGTTTGTTATTATAAGATGCTCTCATATTAATAAAATTGAATAAAAGGGTGTTATAGAGGCAAAAGTAATGTTACTAACCTAGTAACATATTCCTGGCATTGTTTGCATTATTAATCTCAAGAATAACAATACTTTACCATAAACTCAAACTACCGTATAATATTATATCAAAAGGTTTTATATTAAGAAAAAACATGTATTTATAAAGCGTTATACAGACTAAGCATTGAGACAACAAAATAACTGATTTATTGTATTGAAGGCCAACACAACAAGTTTTATCTAATAATAAAAATTATGCAATAAATTGTTTGATTGGTCTCTGCTTTCAGAGATGCCTTTCGGCCGCGATTTTGATCGCAGAAAAACAGACTAAAACTACTATTTATTTTTCATTTCTTCACTACAGTTGTCTCAACAGAGATCATATGAAATAGAAATCATATTTCAGATTAATCCTAATCTTGTAATTGTATATTTTACAGTTTTATTAACTATGTTAGTTTGTTAGAATATTATACATTACCGTAAACTTGTCAATTGGCAAAGCATAAGATATTTGCTTTATTAATTTGATAAGTAGATAACAATTTAAAATATTTTACTAATTAGATTTTTGTAGTGTATGGTCAAAAAAGTATGTAATTTACAATGAAAGTACAATATTTGAATTTAGTTATAAAGGTTTTGTCTATACTGTAGTAAAAGTGAGCACAACTTTAAGTTGTTTTAAATATGTTTAATTTTATAGACCCATATTGTGTCATATTAATATTTTATATTAATTATCAAAATTGAATCGTGAAATTCAATTATTTAAAATGTATATTTTACAGATTTTATTTACTGATAACTATTGATTTATTCCCTTTGATGAAATGGCATACAATTAGTTTACTATTCTCTAGTTGTAATCGATTTGTAAACTTGAACTAAAAATTATGAGAATATTTTTCTTTCGTTTATTAGTTTTTATCACTTTTATTATCAAAAATCTTTGCACTTATTCTGTTAGATAAATGAGTTATTAAACAATAATTAAAAACACATGAATAAAGCGTTTATATTATATTTCAAGCAATGCATTACTAATTGCAATGAATGCAAAATGTATGGCACTGATGACCACCTTATTTATTTGGTTGCACATATTTAGAGCAAGGTCTCAATTTGTTTGCAACGAGTAATTAATTTAAATTTAATAATGAAACTCGATCCTGTTTTAAAAACTAATTAAGCATTCTCAATTTGCATATTTTTGAACCAACAGTGACAAATACATGGTTAAGGTTAATTGACAGCAAACCAATTATTTTGTCAATTATTCGTTTACTGGACATGAAATGCAAAACATTATAGAATTTGTGAAATTATTTGATCGAAAGCATTACTCATGATTTATTAGCTAATTAATTAAGTTGCTTTCACATAATAACAATTAAAATCTTTTTATTTAATTACTGGTATTTCATAATAGAATAAACAATTTTGCAATTTTAAATCACATATCAATCTGTTTTATTTTTCTGTTAAATCAATAGTAGTACATATTTTTATATTAATACATTTTATATCAATTTTATATACTTTATGTTATTAAAATTTTTAGAATTCATAAATATGTTAATAATATTTTGAGTAATATTGTGACATCTAGTATTTTGCATTTTTTAATTAATAAACGCCTATTTCAGAATACAAATAATGATTAATGAATATTTAGGCTACTTTTTATAATGAGTTTGTTAACTTACAAAATTAAATTGAGTTTGTTTATATATATATATATATCCTATAATAATATTAATATTATATATATGGTTACAGTTATGGACACAATGGGCCGGTTCTTCGAGTCGGGTACGGCTGATGGGAAACACTCGAGTTTCGGTGAATACGATGAATGTCTGGAACTGGAGAGTCCAGAAGATAAGGGACTGGTAGTGAAAGGCCAGTATTGTCTGGTCAAAGTGATACTCCCGTATCCGTCCGTCAATTCCTACAAAAAGGGCGATCCATATGACCCCACGTTTGACGAGGAGGGCATCACTCCATTCAAGTACTTCAATGGCGGCAACTTTACCTCAATCATCCGGATGATCGAGAACCTCAACATGTATAGAGGGTCGACCTATCGGTTAGGTCTGTGCACTCCTCACTACTGCAAACGCCATGAGGTCGAGGAGTTCATCAATAAAGGCATTCATTATTTAATTTATATTTTGCGATTCCTTATCTCAAATTATTTGAATAGACATTATAACATGTCTCACGGGATTATAGACTCAAGAATACGTGTTAACCACAAATTATTTGTTAACTATTTCTCAATATTTATAGTTCTGTATCCGATCACACGGTTGCCACTAGAGGTGGGCAGATATTGTGTCCGCAAAGACAAATCAGAAGATTTTACCTTGCTACAATTGTTGTCCATGTAATTTTTTTACTTTTAAAATTCTATAAAGACATAAAGTATTCTGATAAAAATATTATTGTTAAGAATATTCTATACATGTATACCAATATACTTTTAGCTCAATTTTGGTTGTATTGGCGGTAATAGTGATAACATCCACCGGAATAGAGATCTATAATATAATATACGAGAGAAGTCTGGCCGAAGACAACACCAATTTAGGAGAGACTAAGTTCGCAGATGAGGAGCCCCTACACGTCAACCCATATTACTATACCTTCTCGTTAGTCACTAATACACGTGAATTGTTTGATCAGAACAATCGTTTCACATCATTGGACACCATTAGACTGTTTGTTATTTTACACATTTATGTCTTTCATTTGTACAACACCTTGGCGACCATTGGTATCGTAACCCTGAAGCGTCCATTTGCTACTTTCCCCTCACAAGTGCTTGAATTGGACAGATATACTACACTCAGGAATACATTGATATTTGATGTTTTATTTATAATGAGGTTTGCCTTTAGTTTTATATACTGTACACAGTATTATAAATATTTAAAGTATGAATTATTTGTATCACACTTTTACTAATAATATTTATTTATATCCATTGCCATTATCAGTGGATTTATTCTGTCCAACAGTTTATTAGGGAAGCTGGACAGAAATGGTAGCAAATTTAATTACTTCAAATATATAACGGGCCGGTACTTCAGATTCGCAGTACCAATGTTGGGCTCAATCATATTCTTGAATACATTGCCCCTTATGGGCAGTGGACCCATTTGGGATGAGGGCGTCCAATGGGTCACCACTCCCTGCCAAAACCCATTAGTCGTGTTGTTTGGTATGCTTTTCATAAGCAATTATAACGACCAGTTCGCTATTATGGAGAGACAGTCCGCACTGCCCTTCGTAAGCATTTCTACTTTAATTATTTCACTTTTAAAATATCAATATCCTTATCATTAAATTTATGCCCAAATCCAGTGTAATCCGAGCACATGGTTTGTATCGGCATTATTTCAACTGCACGTCATTATACCCATACTTATCATAATATACTACAAAAATGCCAAATATGGCGCCTACGCGACCGCCGGTGCCATAGTGTTGGGAATGGTGTCCAGTATTAGTCCGACACTCATATTCAATATATTGCCACAAATGCAATACATTCAGATTGAGTCGTACGAAGAGCTGTTCCGCTCCTTCGCGTGGTATCACTTGTCGACCACACAATATATCGCGAGTTTTGTGGTGGGAGTAGCGGGCGGTTACCTCATACGTCGGGACTGGAACTTATGCATTGAATACGAGGTGATGGGCTGGTGCGCCAGTGTCCTCGCTATTATCATCGTCTATATGTGGAGCAACACCTTCTGGAAAGTGCAAAAATCAGCCCCACTTTTCAGTGTACTCCTATGGTTCACATTTGGCAAACTAGCCTTTGCCATAGCTATCACCTGGATATTCTTTTGCCTATGCACTGGGAGGGCCAGTATGTGAAGCATTCACAATTACAATATCTAAACAGTTAACTCATTGCTTTCTAACCCTAACCACAGGGACAATGGATTATCTGCTTTCATGGCCTAACTTCCAACCCTTTTCTCGCCTATCGTTCTCTTTCTTTATGATCCACTTTATGGTTGTCATCAGACGTGTCTTCACTGTCAAAGAGACCATCACTATGTCTGATGGACTTCTGGTACTACACATTAGTGATGAAATCTCTATAATATCTATTTATTGATCACAACACACTGTAATGTATTTTTTGCAAACAGATTGAGAACTCCATCATTGATATTATGGTCACCTTTTGCTTGGCGTATGTCTTCTACGCCCTAATAGAGGCGCCGTTCACTAACTTAATGGCCATTTGGCTCAAGAAAGATACACAACGTGACGATCTGGTTGGCCATCAAAACGGTGCCGTCCATAACAAGGACACACCGGCGCCCGAACCCAAAAACAGCATTTCTATGCGAGATATGGGGCACATCCACCACATCGAGTTGGAAGAAGACATCAATAAAAATAGCAATTTTGTTGAAACCATTAAGATTTAGCCAAACAATTCATCCCATATTTATATCAGTATTACTGTATTATTTAATTCATTTCAATTAACAAAATACGGTACAAAAAACCTTTGTGTCCAATAAAATACTCGACTTCTGGTTATGCAAATGTTTATCACAAAACGTATTGCTATTTTTTAGTTAAAGTTTTACAATATTTTGTGAACAAACTATTGGATAATTGGTTGATGTCCACAAACCAGATATTAATTTATAAGCATTCAATTGTCATTTCTGGTCATCTATTAATTACAATTTTATATTAAATAATATTAATTCTTCATTTTGTTGTCTTTTAAAAGGACAATATTATTAAATAATTGATTATTATTTTAAATAAAAAATTAACATTTGAAAGATTGAATCTATCACAAGAGTTTCAAGTAATTAAAGTATTACAGCAAACGAATTAAATTAATAAATCACTATTCCTTATACAAAATAAAATGTTTTAATTTACCCAACAAATACACTGGTGTCGTATTAAAACTACAGTATTAAACACTAGTTTGTGAATGAATTTGAAATTTTAATATTAATTTTAGGTAAATAAATATGAATCTGATTTCATAAGTTATTTATGATTTTAATTTTTTGTGTTAATTCATTTACAATTTAATTTTCACAAAATATGTATAATATAGTAAACATTTGTGTAATAAATAATGAAAAGCAGATACATATAAATAATTTACTCGCATTTATGCGTCGTGTCCCGGATTTTATGACATACAGCGTATTGTCTTAAATAATCGACAGCATAGATGTCTTCTTTAACACTCAATGGCTTTAATTCAGAGGACGACTTATCTCGCGCCGCCTTTTTTAACACAGGAGTACACGGAATGTATTGCACTTTCTTTCGGTTCACTAAAATCCGAGTTTGCGGTCCATCTCTCGGGCACAATACATGCGAATATTTATCTCTCACTCTATCAAACAAATCACATTTATTTTGACAATCTTTGCAATTATTTTAATTCATAATTATGACCTACTCATAAATAAAGTACCCCGGTACAGATCGATTTTTTGCCTTCAATTAAACCATACTTTTAAATTAAGATATCTTATATCTTATTACCTGTAATGTCAGTTTCTATTACGGTATATTCAAATTAAAAACTCCAATATTAGAAAATACAATATATTTGTTCATTGGTTTAAATGCATATAAAAAGTCATTAGTAATTATTATTTGCACATTGACAATGATTGACCACTATTTATAAGAATATTAAAGGGGTATTTAGTTAACTTGAATAATTTTATATTATGATCACTATAATTTGATTCTGTGAACCAATTTAGGTTCTGTGTTTTCTCAAAAATTAGGACGACTTTATTACCGGTAAGTAAATTTACTACAGTAGGTATTGCAATACGACTTACGTTTGATTCACGTGACTCATGTAATATACCTCGACAATCGGTATTTCTAAATTGTAACCACGATTTTGACGATTATATTCAGTCGAGTTATGTCTCCTCCACTCAATAGCCATTGAATGGATGTTTGAAAGTTTAAACTCAAATGTTACTAAAATGGTGTGAATATCCTTTGGGGATGTTTTGGACATAATTCGTGTAAAATTCAATTCTCTCACTTCATTGTCAACCGTTGCGTTCAATGCTATGGTTAGATACCCTTCAGTATCATCACATTTTCAAATATATTAGTATTTATTGTTAGTTTAAATTAATTTGGTTTAATTTATAGAAAATATAGTAAATATTAAAACGATTAAAAATATGGAGAGATAGATATGAATTGTACCTGTTGTTAAATCCGAGATTTTTGATATATGAAAAGCCATTTGATAGTGATATACTGATTAAGAGCAAAATTATCATTTAAAATTACTGTATATTGAATTTATAAGTTGAAAATGAAAACTAATATTTACTGCAATACTCCTCTTTGGGAGCGGAGGCCACGAAGTATTTGGTGTTTATTGGTTTCGATACCCCATATTCCATGGGCTTATTCTCCCAATAATCGGGGTTCAGTCCCATTGGCTGACACTTGTTGTCCTCGCAGTTGGCACACCTGCCCTCCAAGAATGTCTCAAAATTTTCGCACTGGTAGGCTATGGCACTGCAATCGTCCTCAGGTTTGTCTATTTTATTAAATGAATTAATAAAAAGTAGATATCTGTTTTGACAACATAAACCCACACTTATGGATGAGTTGTGAGTCGGAAGAGTTTTATATTGCTTAAGTTTAGAGTATAGAAGTTTATTTAAAAAAGCTTCCAGTCACAACTTATCCATAAATTTGAGTTTATTTTACCAACACAGATATATCAGTACCAGAAATATGACTCTGATGTGTCTTTTCACTAAAATTTAAAATACTATATTTTATGTATTCAGTTATTAGGTTTTAAGTTTTAATTAATAAATACACATTTGAATCATATTACGGTATATTCATTGATATTTAAATTAAGGTAAAATTGATACCTAGGTTATTCATAATTAAGCATGCTCTGGAATGTGAACACGTGATGTCTTCACCCGATGTGAGTGAAGTCACTTTTTCCTGTATACCTTTAGATTTAGGACATCCCGGTTGCCAAAATCCTATGCGAGAATTACAGCTAAGAAGTTACACACAATGTATGACTTGTTTGAAGTAATGGTACCTCCATTCGGGTAGAAGTCGTAATGCCCTACCGTTTCACTCATCCCAAAGCCATCCGTATATGAGAGGGCGGCGTCTGAATGGATCACATCGACTATCTGTGCGTCCGTTGGGGACAACCTGTTGGTTGTCGCATGAAAACTAACACCTATTCGGGTGAATATTATTTAAAAAAGTTTACTTCAATAATATTGATGGCTATAATACCAGCAGGGTCGAGGGCTGTAATTCGGCCTACTTTCGGATTATTGAGTCGTTTTCCGGCGAAACCCATGGTATGTGCGCCCAAACTGTGCCCAATTAGCCAGAACATATCGTGTGTGATCTTAAATTCTTTGCACAAACTCTCTATGAAGAACCAAATGCAAGCGCCCACAACCCTGGTATTAATGGCCGCCAAGGGATAGTTAATTGTTTTGGCCCCTGTTTTCAGTACATAATAACTCAATAGTAAGATTAACTAACATTTATTTTTGAATTCAATTTTAACGTCTAATTTACAGACCTTTTTCCCAAATGACTACAACAACATTGTACTGATAATTGCTCTTGTACAGAATTAGGTCTTTCATATTCTGTTAGGAATATTTAAAAATTAATATAATTGACACAAAATTTTAAACTATAATTAATATATATTGTACAAAAGTTTCTGTAATATATATATATATATATACAGATACGGTCACTTCTATCCCGCGTTGGGAAAAGTTGAATAGCTTTTGAATGGATTATCCAATCTTTAATCTGTTTTCACCAAATTGTAGCTGGATAATGTTAAAATCTGGTGATATACTATTTGCCTTACAAATTCATCACGATAACTTAGTAATTTAACTTCAAATATTGACCAACATTTCTCTTTAAAACTTAAATAAAATTTAATGTCAAGTATTTTCAAGTATTTATGAGTTATGTTTTAAGTATTCAAAAATTTGGATCTGGTCACTCTAGCAATAACACGTGATTATACATCAAGTTTGTCATACATTTCAAATGGGGATTTCATTTTTGAAATAAAATGTAAACTCAAAAACGAGATGTAATTCAATAATAAGTCACATAAATACCTCTAACCAAATGGAAAACCCGGATTGGTAGCCATGCACTATGAATGCCGTCTTAAGGGAGGCGTTGAAAGTGCTGTACCGGAGCTGAGAGGGGGTGGGTTGGTAGGTGAATTTCCTGGCTATCGTCCGGTGCTCTAATGTGTACATATGAAACACCGGGCTTATAAATTCGGGTGATTGTGGTAACAGTGGAATAGTGGTTCGGGTGGACTCGTTATATTCTGAGGCCCCTCCAAAGCATCCGAGGGGTGGGTAACACTTCTCGTTTAATATCTTATTATAATCTGGTAATGAGTACATTAAATGAGAGGAAAGACTATGGCTATAATAATCGCAATATGGTTATAACAAATCAAACAAATGGTGTATACCCTTGATTTTATCGAAGAAGCCACTTTTCTTTCGGGGCTGTTCCTCCTCATCCGAGAATGTCTTGGTTTCTGTTGACTCGTCTTTACCTTTCTTCGTAAATGTGCTAAATATTCCTGCTTTCATATTGCAATGATAGGAAATGATAGGAAACTAATATTTATATGTGTATTATATGGGTAGTGAATGGTGAAAACATTAATCACCTATTTTGCCGATCAATGACTTTTTAGTGGGTTTGACGGGAATGTCGTTCACATTTGCCTCTTCTTCGCTATTATTCATCTTTTTGATGCTTTTGAGGGATAATATAGTTTTTTTGCCATCTGTGCCCGTATTGTTCACGTTTTTGTTTGCCGAGTGGGGGGTTGTGGTGGCCGTAGTATGGGATGAATTTGGGTCCGATTTAGTGATGGCAAGCGGTGTGGATGCAGACGAGTCCTCTTCGGTCGACACATTCTCAATATCTTCAGTTGGATCCGTTGTGAACATCGACTTCTCTGACACCTCCGATGTCTCCGAAGAAAGGGATGTCTCAGTTGAGTCCGTTTCT